GATATAAATGCTGAATGGTTGACTTAAATTGCAACTTTGTAATTTATGAACTATTTAGTTCGTAAATGTGTGATGCATTGACAATTAGTTGAATTATTGTGTTGAAATGATAGTTTACATATTGCAGAAACCAATTTAGATCTATTTTGTGGCATTAAAGGATTGGGAAGGTCTCACGCATGAAATGATACCCAGGGATGAAGACTTATTTTTATTTTTATTTATTTATTTATTTATTTATTTATTTATTTAAATGTTCATGCTACCTAAAGTAGTTTGCAGAGTCAATGCAATTCCCATCAAAAATCTCAATGACATTTTTATAGAAATCAAAAGAAAATCCTAAAATTCTTATGGAGACAAAAGATTCAAAATAGTCAAAGCAATTTTGATAAGGAAGAACAAAACTGGAGATGTCATACTTCCTGACTTCAAAATATATTACAAAGCTACAGTAACAAAAACACCATAGTACTGACAGAAAACACATACAGAACACTGAAATATAAAACAGAATAGAAAACACATACAGAATGTAGAGCTCATATAGAAGGGAGAGCTCAGAAATAAACCCATCTACACATTTATGGTCAACTGATCTTTGCTAAAAGTAAACAAATACACCACAGGCAAAGGATAGGCTTTTCAATAAATGATTTTGTGAAAACTGAATATCCACATATAGGAAAAAAATATTAGACACTTATCTCAGAAAATATACAAAATCAACTCAAAGTTGACCAAATATTAATGCATAAGACCTGACACAATAGCACCCTAAAAGAAATAAATAGGGGGGAAAGATTCATAGCATTATTTTTAATAATGAAATGCATGCTTGTTAACTATTCAGTGTGGGCTTAATCTTGAAACAGTGTGTTTATTTTCATAGTAATTATTATGTCACACTAGACAAACCATAGGTCCTACCACAGATTTTAAAATGTGACTACTTGGTACTTCTCCACTGAAAGTAAAATTAAATTGCCATTTAGTGGCATAAGATTAGGGAGTAATTCGTTGCTTCACTAGTAGCAATCAAATGGTATTTAGCCCTTTTCGGATAAGGGGTATGTTTATTAGGCATTATAGTATTATCTACTTAAAATTAAACTAATGACTTCCCAAGTCATTTGATAGAACTAAACTAAGTTTTGGGGGGTATTCATGAATGTAACATATATTATAATATTTTTCAATAATTTTGTCAATAAACACAAATAACTTGAAATTCCAGGTTACTCGGTATGATAATTAACCCAACTCAACAGAAAAAAAATTCTCTGTAGGACCAAAAATATTATTACAAGTTTTGGCCCCAGGGTATTTACCAAGAACACCAAATACCCACTGCATTTACAAATTCTTCCTATGCCAACAGAACTTATTGTCTAACCCCCAGAGACCAAAGAAGGATTGAAATGGACTTATGTTTTCTTGACGGTACAGATTTTTTCTGAACTTTGAGTGAAGTGTCAGCTGCTCACACTGAGAGCTTCTCCTTCTGTTGAGGGAAGATGTTCTTGAATATGTTCCGGTGAGTTTCCTTAGGTTTTATAAAAAAGATAGATTACACATAATAATGGAAAGCCCATAAGCAACTTATTTAGAATGGGTGAGATATCAAATTACTGCCATTTAATTTGTAAAACATAAAATATGCTAGGTATGATTATTTTAATGGAAATTAGGTTTCTGGAAGGAGGGAAGAGAACGTGGTAAACTTCCATTCCAGCATCATTTCGTGGAGTGCAATTCTTACCTCCTAGAAATGCTTTCTTTAAATAATCATCATAATTGTAATTCAGCATTAATTTTCTTTGGATTCATATTATTTAACAATACTTATAATAGTGACTTAAAAGAGATTTGAAATGTTTTCTACATCAGAAATCACAGATAAATTGTTGAAGTGCAGTAGGAAAATCTATAAATTGAGAATGGATCAAATGTTTTATTGAGAGAAAAATAACTACATTTTCCAACTTCATAAAATAAGGATAAAAAAACAGAGAAATACTGAAAGAGTGACATGCTCCTTATCATTCCAAATTTCTTATTCATTCTCATTCATAGGGAAATTCTGAGTTAAAGAAAATTCTGAGGTGGACTTGTGAATAGTCAGTATTTTCAGAAATACAAAGGAAGCTCCTGAGAACAAAATAACTGGTAAAAATAATTAACTGCATCTTAATACATTTAAGAAAGAGTTATGTTATTTATAAATATTATATACAAGCAACCATAAACATCCTTTTTTTTTAAAGATTTATTTATTTATTTATACAAGCACTGGGTACAGTCAGAAGCATGGGAGGGTGAGAGAATTCACCAGAGCCAGAGCAGGCAGAAGGACTGAAGAACACTGCTGAGGGGAGCAGCGGGTGGCAGGAGAGGTCTGTGTGCCATGCAGGACCCTCCTCTGGTGGCCGGGGAGCAGCCGGGGATCAAACCGGCGCTGCAGAGGCTGCGGGCAGCTTAGCAACCCAGCGCTCAACCTCTGTGCCACCGGGGAGGCCCAAACCACAAACATTCTTTAAAAACATCAATATTGACCTAAAATGGTTGCAAAAGTGTTGGATTTTGAATTCTCCCTTTGTTAGAGCAGAGGGAATAACTTGGATACAATGAAAAAGTGACTTAAAGATGTATAACCAACCTAGTATTCTGATCAACAAAGGAATAAGGAATTTCATTGAAGAAAAAAATGTGCCCATCATTATGTTTATAAATTGATACTCATGAGGTTCTTTGTAAGAACCAGCAAGAGACACTTAAGTTCTGTTATCATACACTGCTTCTATAGTCAGTATAAGTTAATGTAACAGCTTATTCTGTAATCTTAGAAAGATACCTATAACCCAAATGTTACAAAATTGGTTTTGCACACATGCTCACATACACAACTAGTAAATATGCATGTTTTTTTTTCTTCAAAAGAGAGAAAAGATACATAAAGTTTTAATGAGGAAAACAAAAACTGCATTTAATCCTAGTATTTGGCTCCTGTACTTATTATTGCAGTTGTAGATTTAAGTCAATGGAAGACCAACCAAACTACTTTTGGGGAAATCAAGCAATATTTTCATGCATATGAAACCGATCCTTTTTTTTTTTTTTTTTTTTTGCTGGGTTCCTCAACAGAAGGTAAGCAATTTTCTCCCATACACAGATATGGAGTTTCAGGATGCTCCAGACATGGAACTCAACTTGCCTTGTTGAGTAAGTGTGTCAGAAAAACTAGGTGTCAATTTAAAGTTTCTCTTCATAGTTGTCAAAATATAAAATGATTTGACTGAATTTAACAATAATTAACAATTCAGAAGACACCGACATGTATACACAGTCACATGCACGCTCTAAGGCTGACACAATTTTCCAATAGTCTTACTTGTACAAGGGACTCTGTCATCGAATCAAGTTTTTTCTATTAATGTGGACAATTTCCAATAAAACTAATACACTACAGACTGTAGAAGCATCCATTACCCTCAGCTTCTATGTAAAGTATTCAGCTGCATCCATGGAATTCAGGCTGAAAGTTTGAAATGGAGGATCTTTTTCCTATGTGTTTCAGGTCAGGCTACCAAATCAAACCAGTAATAAAGACAATCATTCCCTCATCATGCAGAAATTATTACTGTTGTTATGTTGTATATTTCCTTGTACTCTTTATTCTCTGTTTATTCCATTCCTGAGTACTTACATATATTGGTAACATAAAGACTTTCTTCTGTCTATGCCATCCACCGTAATCACATTTAGAAAAGAATGATTCATTAATAAAATTTTCAAGAAAACCAAAAAAATTATGAATTGAATTACATTTAAATTTTAGAATTTGTCAATATTTTTGCTAGTGCACTAATTTTAAATGTACATAGTTTCTTTAACTAATAATCAGATCATAATTAAAATGTTCTCTCACTATAATATTATATTCTCTAGATGGTAGATTGTTTCAAGTATCCTGCTAAATAATTTGCTCTTTTCCAAAAATATGCACGAATTTGCTTTTTACTACATACATGTTTTAAACTTATATCTTTATGTAATTTATATATTATCATTTTTTATTTTATTATTTTTATAGAAGTAATGTTTATTTACAACACTGTGCATGATTCAGACTTCTTCAGATGTATAGTATCAGTAGATGACTGTCTCTATAATTAAAACAACTATTTTAATTTCAAAAGTCAACTAATTTTTGAGTACAAAAGTTATATTTTATATTGTTTTAGTTGCTCTTTGTACTCAGAATGTGTAAATGATATTTTCATGTGTATATTAGTTATATTTTTAAATAAAAATACACTTGGGGCTGGTCTGTTCTTACCCATTTCCATAGGGAACTTAGCATTTTACAGTTCATTTTTTATGATATTTTATGTTAAAGATAACAGTTATTTTCATATATGATGATTGCATAGTTATTATCAATTTCATATTTCATAATTTTATTTGTGAAAATAAATAGAAGAAAAACATGGGGAATTTTCCTTCTTATATATAAAACAAAGGTATAACATTGTATTAACAATTCCATTGTGGTTGAATTATTATATATAGAGATAGAATGATTAATGAAAACGAAAATGTAGCATAGAAACCTTCATAAATGTGAGTGTATTAACTATAAAAACCTTTAAAATATAAATCAAAATTCAATTATGCAATCCAATTAACAAAATTATACATTTTAAATATCTTATTAATTTTATTGTTTAAATATATTTTTGTTTCTTTTCTTTGAAACGGGTAATATCAAATAATCATCTTCCTGATCTGTTTTCATGACTGAGTCAAGACAATTTAAATATTCCACAATATTACTAGTATAGAGAAATACATCCACATTTAAGATAAAGTGGTGATTTCTTCAAGTAACTTCATCCTTAGGTTCACTGAATGGTTAAGTAACAGAAATATCCAATGGTTCCATTTTGTCTTCCAAGCAAATAACACAGAAACGATGTGTGATGGCCATATGAAGGAATATGGGTAATTTCACTATGAATGGGTTTCTACTGTTGGAATTTTCTGCCACAGCTGAGCTAGAACTCGTCCATGCTTCTCTGTTCTTAGTCTTATATGTGGTGGCTTTAACAGGAAATCTCCTCATTATCACTGCAACTTCCATGGACAGTAGTCTCCAGTCACCCATGTATTTCTTCCTGAAACATCTCTCCTTTCTGGATCTGTGCTACATTTCCGTGACTGTGCCAAGGTCCATTTACAATGCTTTCACACAGAGTGGCTACATTTCCCTGGGGGAATGCATAGTGCAGTGTTTTGCTTTCATTCTCTTTGCGGCTGCTGAGATGTCCATGCTCACAGTGATGTCCTACGACCGCTACGTGGCCATCTGCCTTCCATTGCGCTACGAAATCATCATGGATGTCCGCACCTGTGTTCACGGGGTGATAGGCGTCTGGATCAGTGCAGTCATTATTGGAACCATGCACACAGCTGGCACTTTCTCCATCCACTTTTGTGGTTCCCATATCATTCACCAGTTCTTCTGTGACATCCCCCAGCTCCTGAAACTCTCTTGTTCTAATGAGTATATAAAAGAGTTGGGGGTCTCTTGCTTTGTAGCTATTATGGTCTTTCTTTGTGTTTCCTTAATTGTAATGTCCTACATCCAGATATTCTCTACTGTGCTGAGGATGCCATCTGCAGAGGGCAGAGCTAAGGCCTTTTCCACTTGCCTTCCCCACCTCGCTGTGGTCATTTTATTTATTTCAACAAGCTTCTTTGAGTTTCTCAAGCCACCTTCTGACTCTCCAAATGCACTGGACATTTTGCTCACTATTATGTACACAGTTGTGCCTCCAACACTCAACCCAATGATCTATAGCCTGAGAAATCAAGCCATAATGGCAGCCTTAAGAAAGGTTTTTCAAATGAGAAAATCTGATCTCTTTTGTTGAGGACATTCTGTTCATTATTTTTGGGTGAGAAGTTCAAAATATATTGGGAAAACTCTTGGCTTAAATAAATTGTGATGAAGGAAATTAAATAAGTTTATGAAAGAATTAAGATTGAGGACAGCATAGCAACGATCACTGGATAGCTCTGGAAAAGCTGCACAAACTTTGAATTTCTTTTTATTTTATTTATTTTATTATATAATATATATATATTATATCACCCTCTTTTTTGTATAATGTATGCTGTCTCCTCTCAGGTGCAGTCCCTGTAAAAGTCCCACCACCAATTCACCTGTGACCATCACCATAGTCCATTGTGCTCTTCCCACATTTGTTTTGATATCTCTCCCTCTCCATGCCCTGAAGAGTGTCACTGATTTATAACTGTTTGTTGATTATGATTTTTAATTCATCATAATTTTTTTCATAATCACTTTTATGGTTTATCTACATTCCTTGTATAACTGGCTTCTTGATAGGACTTTATATAATTTGCAAGGGAAACATTTAAAGGACTTGGTGGGGGTTGTCTGGTTTATGTATTAGCTGATATTTTCTGTGCTTTGAGAAAAACAGGAGAAGTTGTTAATATTTATCCTATTTAGAGCATGATCTACACAGAACTGGGAGTTTTAGCTTTTCCCTAATCCTTGAATTCTGTCTTTATTTGAAGTTAGTGATTTGTCTAGAGGCAGCAATTTCCAAAATGCTGCTTTATCTCCAAGAACATTTTTCTTGGCACAATATATTCAGGACCAGTCCAGTTTTCTCTTCACTCATGACTTGCATCCTTCAATTAGGCATAGGGAGTGGGAGGACCTAAATTGTTATCTGTGGTTAACCAAGGGGCAACCAGGAATTTAGATCTAAATTGAGAAATGAGAATAGGGCAAGTTGTCAAATCAGACTAACAATACCTCTATGAAAATTACCTTCACAAATAGAGTAGATTGCTATCTCACCCCACAAAACCAGGTGTTAGAAAAACATTTCCATTATTTTAAAGAAGCTTATGTACTCTCTTCCCTGATCATTTCTGTCAGGAAAATGGAATACAGTAAATATGAGATTCTTTTCTCATTATTCCTGAATTACTGGAGCTAGGATATCACAAGGTATCTCTGCATTGATGAGAAACACCAGACTTTCAGACCCACTGGCCATGCAGAGCTCCACTGAGGCTTTATCAACTTTACAGCCTTGAAGAACAATACACTGATATCACTGCAATAATCTCTTCACCTCATTTCTTTGCCTCTTAAATTACATGGATTAATTACCACTGAAGTGTGATAAATGTTTAAATAACACAATAATCTTTAAGTTGCTCAGAAATACATATTCTTAAATGTTAAAATGTCTTAAGGAAATAATAGCAATATTATTTTTTTTAAAGATTTATTTATTTATACAAGCACTGGGTACAGTCAGAAGTGCGGGAGGGTGAGAGAATTCACTGGAGCCAGAGCGGGGAGCAGAGCAGGCAGAAGGACCGAAATACTCTGTTGAGGGGAGCAGTGGGTGGCAGGAGAGGTCTGTGCGCCATGTGGGACCCTCCTCCGGTGGCCAGGAGCAGCTGGTGATCGAACCGGTGCTGTAGAGGCTGCAGGCATCTTCGCAACCCAGTGCTCAACCACTGTGCCACTGGGGAGGCCCAATGGCAATATTATTTGCATTATTATATGCTAACAAAAAGAACAGATATATTTGAAAATTGTTTTGGATATATAATGGTAATGATCATAACACAAAAATTAATGATGATTCATCATCTAATATCCCTAGTAAAGACAGAATCAGTGAACTGAAAGGCAAGTTTCAAATGTAAAAATATGAAATTCTACCAAAAAAGCTCATGGAACACAGTGATAAAACATCATGAAAAAGAGATTTAATCATAAATGTTAGAAAAGGAGAGTCTAACATGGTCTTATGAAAGTTCCTGAACACCATTTCCATTTGTGTCTCTGAGCTCTAAGGCAAGAACAATAGACAATATTGAATTTTTCCACCAGAGTTAATAGAAATTTAAATATTTGTCTTGAGATACAAAAACTCACTGATATATGTAAAATGATTTCAAAATCATAGTATCTTATTATAAATATAAAATAACAAAGACAAAAATGTTAATAATCATTAAAATTTTACTGTTTTATTCTTTGCTTCAATAATCCACTGTAAAATTATTTTTTGCAAAAGTTGTGAAGTAGAAGTTTTGATTTCTTTCAGTCAAATGCTATCTCATGAATTCCGAATCTTTAAATGAGAAATCATGTCCTCATCGAATTTCGGTGACATCATTTAAGAAATTTTGTTTCCTAATGAATTTCACCTGTGTTTTGTTAAGTGCTAGAATATGTGTGTGGGTTTCTAATCTGTTGTATTGATATAGGGGTTCATGTTTCTAGTAGCAGCTGCTAATAACAGCAATTTCACAGTACGTAGTATATTAAGACTCTTAACTTTTCCTACTCTGTTTTCCAGATTGTCTTTGGTTCCTGTAGGGTAAAGAAAATATCAGGCTTTTCTGCCCTATCGCCATCAGGATAGCTGATGGATCCTTGCGGTCTGAATGCATGCCTGATGGCGGGCACCTGGAATAGGGTGTGGGCCTAGGTAGATGGAATTCACCTGGGCTAACACTATGCTTTAAAGGGTGGCGTCACGGGGATGCCAGGAGAAGCAGAGCAGCAGCAGAAGCCGAAGAGAAGCTGAGATCACCGGAGAGCCCAGATAGAGTGAGGATTTGCTGGGACCTGGGAGGACTGCCAGCCTCCCAGCCCCCCAGCACCCCTGCCTGCTGTGTACTGGGTAAATCTCAATAAAAGACCTGCAAAAACCACTGAGGACTCTGACTCCTCCTTTACCGGGTCTGCATGGGATCCTAGAAAACCTGCACTGTGTCCATTCCTGCCCCTACAATTGGCGTAAGTCGGCAAGATGATCCATGCAGACGGGTATGGAGCCCTCCGAAGACCTGGAGGGACTAAGGAGACTGTGTGTGCCTGTGACGATGCTGGAGGTGCCACGGTGGCACAGAAGGTGGACACCATCCGGCAGCTGCAGGATGAGACCTCAGCTAGAGGAGGAGACACCCGAGAGGACCAGCCAACGACCCCCAAGGCAGCAAGAATCATCGGGGAAGAGAGGACCATGATTTGGAGCTTGCCAGTGCTGATGGAAAGGCCTAATGGACTTGGACTGATGAACTTGGACTGACAATCCCACCAGAAGGCGGAGGACCTTGGCAGGTTGTTTTTTTTGGAATCTGGGAGTGGCTAGTGGGCCTTGATGGCCTAAAGCAGCCTGTGTATGCCCAGTAGCTAGGTGGAAGAGAAAAGCCAACTGAGAAGGCAAAAGCTGGTGCTGATGCTAAGTTTGGGAAGCCTTGAGTGGCTGTTAAGCAGCCTAAGTATGCTGAAGACCTGTGAGTCTCGTAAAATCACCTGTGGGTGATGCCCTGCTCATAGTCGAGTGAGGGTGAGGAGCTGAGGAATCAGTCCTTGGGCGACAGGTGGGGAATGTGGCTTGGGGTGGAGCCCAAGCCGAATGTAAAGTTTGGATCCCCGACACATGTGCTTGTGCAGTGGGTTGGCCTGAGTGCAGGGGTCTGAGAGTTGCATAGGTGGCTATGAAGGCCGAGTGTTGGAGCGACTGCAGACAGAAACCCTGAGGGTTGGCAATTTCCCCCAACAGAATAGAATCGCCAATCCCAGAGTGAGTGCATCCTGGGGGTGGATGCTGTGTGTGGCCTGTAGCCGAGACTACACAGCCAGAAAAGGCTTGGAAGCCTGACGGCACCTGGTGTGTTACAGTAGATGCCATGAGTGGTTCCCCTCCCTTGTATGAGCAGTGCCTTCGGCAGCAGATTTGGTGGATCATCTGCTGGTATCAATAATTGTCTTTTGCCACTAGGTTGGGGCCCTGCCTGGACTTATTTGTGTTCTGTTGTATTTTGTTATATTGTGATGTATTTGCTTTTGTGAGCCATGGCTGCATTGTTTGTTTGCTAAGAAAATTGTACATATGAAGTCTATATGGCAGAAAACCCTGAGGAGGTGGACTGTAGGGTAAGGAAAAATGTCAGGCTTTTCTGCCCTTCCACCATCAGCATAGATGATGGATTCTTGTGGTCCTGAATGCATGCCTGATGGCGGGCACCTGGAATAGGGTGTGGGCATAGGTAGATGGGATTCACCTGGGCTGAGACTGTGCTTTTAAGGGCGGCATCACGGGGATGCCAGAAGAAACCAAAAGAGAAGTGGAGAGAGAAGCAGAGATCACCAGAGAACCCAGATAGAGTGAAGACTTGCTGGTGAAGTCTTGCCTCCCAACCCCTCAGCACCCCTGCCTGCCATGTACCGGGTAAATCCCAATACAAAGACCTGCAAAAAGCCACTGAGGACTCTGACTCCTCCTTTACCCAGTCTGCTGGATCAGGAAACCTGCACTGTGTCCATTCCTGCCCCTACAGTTCCCTAGAGGCTTTCTATATCCTTATCAGCTTTAGAATCAGATTACCAATTGTAAATGTTAAATTTATAGATTAAGCAGGAAAATAAAATTTTCATATCTTCCATCCCTGATCAGAATATTTTTTGTGTTTGCTTATGTCATTAGTAATTCTATTCCATTATATAGTTTTTAGTGTAATGGATTTATACAATTTTTTAAAAAAATATTCAAATCCATTTTTTTAATGGACACAGTGTTCCTTTCTAACCTGAAGATTTCAGGTGTACATGATTAAAAATCTATTAAAAATCTACTTGTGCATATACCAGAATAAGTTCAGCACTAAATGTCCAATTCTGTCCTCCATGAAACTGACACATTTTACCTGCGTCACCCATTCCTCTTCCCCTTTCTTCTGGTAACCACTACTTGCTCCAAAAGTTTATTTTTGTTTTATTTAGTTCATTCCTTAGTTTTCTTTCTATATAACACATGAGCAAAATTGTATGTTGCTTTACTTTGACTTATTTCACTAAACGCAA